ACATAGCAACCCTCCTACTTCCTTTAGGGTTAATGCCCTCCCATTAACCTTGCCTTTCACACCCGACACAATATCCCATACCTGCTCTAACCTTGCTCCTGTCCCAGACCGTTCTTCTCTCCCTCTGCACTGATTTCCCATGTAGACTTGTCCCTTCCTCCCTGCTTTTATATAGCTGAGTTTATTTCCAACATTAGTCTGCTTGCACCTGTTCTCACTGTCTCTTGGCTTGCGGTTTTTCTTATTTTTCCTTCCACCCTGAAGATGGAGGCAATACGTTCCTCCAAAACGTCGGTTAACACCACATCTACACGGTGCCACATCCCAGAAGACTGTTTTGTTCAATATAAGAACAGTTCAAAATAATATTTGCTAATAAAGGCGTGACAGTATTTTTGGAACAGCATAAGTTGTAATAAACTGGGGATGCAATTTAAATTTGTTTTATTGAGGTAATGGCAAATACATAAGTTTCTTTGGATTTTTAGTCCAGTATGCCACAAAACATGACATCTTGAAAAAGCATTATGCACCTGTCTTCAAGTGAATAAATGTGACATCAAAAATAGCCTTCCAACATCACATGTGTAACCAGAGCACTTATCCCTTTTCACCAAGTTTTTTTAAATTTGGGCTACACAGTATTTTATAGATCACAGGGACATGTCACATTCTAAGCAGCAAATAAGTTGATGAATGCAGTAACCTTTTGCTCATTCCACATAAAACATTTGGCACTGTGTCTGCTATCATCTCAGTGCTTTTTCATGTTAGAAGTGGCAGGGTCCTTTTGACTTCACTGTGTTCGTCTTCATTAAGCTAAACTGGCGTTTATATTTTCATGACATTAAACTTCAAATATCTCACTGTGCAGTTTGTAGTGTATCAGGAATATGTCTATAATTTTAAAACCACTGACTGCATTTTTGCATTGCTCATTTCCTTAGTTTGTATGGGAACCTCTGTGGGTGATATTTTCATGAAGCTCCACATGTTCAATGCTGGAAGGAAAACTGTTAGTATGTCAGGTAATGTGTGATTTCTTATATGTTAGAAATGCCACAAATATGTTTTAAACGTTGCTTGTAAGTTTTTTTAGTAAATATAAGCGTTAAATATTTAAATGACAGTAATTTTTTATTGCTAGTGGGGTGGGACTAAGTCCCTTGTACTGCGGCCACTTCTGGCCTATTGTACCAGCCCCAGATGATAGGTGAGGGTGATTGTGGAGCAATTGGTGGAATGAAGATTGGCAGGGGAAA